CCGAATCCCCGGCTGTCGGGCTGACGTCTGTTTCTTCCTCCGGCACTCACGCCTGCCCTCGATAGGGAGCTGCCCGATTCCATGAACCAGTTGAAGTCCCTGCGTATCTTGAACCTCAGCAAGAACATTTTCAAGGTGCGCGTCAGCGCACGCAGCCACATATCCGCACATCTGCACAGCCTCCCGACCATGTCACCGTGCCCTGCCCCCGCCGGCCTCTCGCTGACCCCGCTCCCCCCCTCCGGCTCGCAGACCATCCCCGACTCCATCTACGGCCTGTCCGAGCTGCAGATCCTGGACATGTCGAACAACCAGCTGCGCAACATCCTCGACGATGTGGCCTCGCTTGTCGGCCTCGAGGTATGTTCAAACTGTCCCGCTTCCTCCCTCACACACACACACACACTATCTCTCTGGGCTTTTCTCGCTGCCGCGACAAGCTCTCGCTCTTGCTTTCCGTCTCGCCTGCAACTCACCTTCTGTCGCCCACCATGCCCCGCTGTGCCCCTCCTCCGTCAATCCCTCCTCTCCTCGTGACCTTCTTCGTTGCTCCATCCTGGCAGAAATTCATCCTCTTCGAGAACCGGATTGTCTCTATCTCGAAGGAAATTGGCAACCTGCAGAAGCTCCGCATTCTTGACCTCAATGACAACAACGTCCAGCGTCTGCCTGAAGAGCGTGCGTCTCTCTCTCTCTCTCTCTCTCTCTCTCTCTCTCTCTCTGTTTCTCTCTTTTCTGGCCCTTCTCCCTGTCTTCTTGCCTCCCCCCCCCCCCCCCCCGCTGACTCGCTTTCTGACGCCCGATCCCGCTCCAGTGTGCGACCTTGAGCACCTCCAGCAGCTTACCCTCCGCGACAACAAGAATCTGTCCTCCCTGCCGGATGCGGCCAAGATGCTCAAGTCCATCCAGCACCTGGACCTGTCAAACACCTCCATCAACGAGATGCCCAGCTGCCTGATCTACTGGGAGAAGCTGGAGATCTTGCGCATGGATGACAACCCGCAGCTGGGCATCCTGGATGAGCAGGACCTCGGTGCCCTGAAGACCCTGAAGACCCTGTCGCTGATGGATTGCTCGCTGAGCGACCTCCCCGACACGCTGGTCGGCAGTGGGAAGACCCTGGAGCACCTGGCCCTTCGCAAGAACAAGCTCAAGGTTCAGTCCTTCCCGATGATGGATTTCGGCCGGCAGATGATTGCCCTGAAGTATCTGAACCTGGGGTGCGTCCCCTTCCTTCCTTCGCTCGCGGATTTGGCCGTTGGCGATCCGGCCATTTGGCCCTCTTCTGCCGCGTCTCGTGTGTCCTTTTCCTGCCCACCTGTGACTCCGCCCACTGACCCTCTATTCCCTTCGGCCTCCCCCCTCCTCTCTCTCTCTCTCTCTCTCTCGCCCGCTCTTCCTCCCCGCTGCATCACTCAGTGATAACCAGTTTGATGCCATCCCCGACGCTGTGTTCGAGCTTGCTCAGCTCGAAGAGTTGGATATGTCCCAGAACATCATCAGTGTCATCCCGGGGGATATCGCTCGGCTGGGGAACCTTCGCCGCCTGGTTCTCAACCACAACCAGTTGTCCAGCCTCCCGGCCGCCCTTGGGTTCGTTCTTCCATATATGCTAGCATCATCCGAGGTCGCGCCCACCCTGCTCACCATTCACCTCCTCCTTCTCTCCCTCCCTCCCTCTCTCTCTCTCTCTCTCTCCCTATCTCCCACACACACACACACACGCACACACGCAGCGAGTGCTCCAACCTCACTTCTTTCGAGGCGCGGAACAACATCATCGGCGCCCTGCCGAAGGAGCTGGCCAATGCTTCTGAGCTGGTCCGTTTGGACTTCACCAACAACCAGCTGTCCGACCTGCCGACCGACCTCCACCGGTTGGCAAACCTCAAGCACTTCCTGCTTAGTGAGAATACCATTGTCGACCCGCCGCCGCGGGTCATCAGCCTTGGCGCCGATGCCATCCGCAAGCATCTCAAGGCTCGCTCCGGGTAAGCAGTAGGGCGATGTCGTGCCAGTGCTTGTCCTCCCCTCCCGCCACCTCCCGTTGCCCCTCTTCTCGTGAGCCATCCAGCTGTGAGTGTGGTGGCCAAAGCCGCGACCCGGGGGCAAATCCGCTGCACTTTTATCCTTTGCCTCTCTCTCTCCCTCCCTCCCTCCCTCCCTCTCTCTCTCTCTCTCCCCCTTTCTTCGTCACACCATGCCGCGCGACCTTCTGCAGGCGGGACACGCCGGCCGAATAATGAAACCACCGCATCATCGATGTCTCTTCTGCTTCTCCCTGGCCGGCCCACCCTCGCCTGGTTATCTGTTTGTCCTTCCCAGGTGGGATGGAGGCTGGGGCGGAGTCAGGTATCCATTTTCTTCGCCCCCCCCCCGTGCTGACACCGCACCCAACCACGCAGGGGGCCAACGAGGTAGCAGACAGAGGAGCGGGAGGGGCGGAGTGTTTGCGAGCGAGAGGAGGGGGGTCGGGCGCCTCAAGGGAGGACGCTGATGTGGGTGCACCCGTTTGCCCATCCTGGGTCCTACGTGTATGTATATGTATATATTGACTAGTCTATCTCTGTCTGCAAGGGAGTGGGGAGCGGGGGGAGGGGAGGCCTTCCGACTCAGGCCTTCCCCGCCCCTTCCCCCCCGGGCCATGGCCAGGGGCGATGCATGCGCGCAGGCACACCCCCGCACGCCGGGGAGAGCAGCATAGGTGCACCGGGTGCCGGGTCGCCCCCATCGCCCGTTCTCCTTCTTAGGGAGAGTTGCTGGGAGAGGTGGGGGCGGTCGACGGCAGAGAGGCCGACTTCGGGGACTCCTCCTGGAGGAGATCCAGACGGCGCAGGATGCGAGTCACCAGGGCATCCTGGTTGAGGGTGTAGATGTGGAACTGCTTGACGCCGGCCTCCTGCAGCTGGGTCATCATCTGGACAATGAAGTCCTCGCCGTAGGCCAGGACCTCCTCCGGGGAATCCTTGAGCTCCTCCATACGGGCAGCCATGGCCGGCGGGACGGCCACCTTGCACATGGTCGTCATGCGAGTCCACCCGGCGTGGGTGTAGATGGGCATGATGCCAGGCAGGATGGGGCAGGTGATGCCTGTGCCGAGCCATCGGCAAGGGTGAAAGCCACACGAAAAATGCGAATGGACCGGTCAGCGGGCGAGCGGGCAGGCAGAGGAGCGGGTGTGCGGGCCACTCGTTCGGGAGGGAAGCAAGCAAGCAAAAAAAAAAGAAGGAAAAAGGAAAAAGAAAGGCCCCGGCCCCCCTCGCTGCCATGGATCCCCGGGGAGCACATGGGCAACATACCGATGGCGCGGCAGCGAGCAACAAAGCGCAGGTACTCCTCGACGTCGTAGAAGAGCTGGGTGACAATGAAGTCGGCCCCGGCGTCGACCTTGCTCTTGAGGTGCTGCAGGTCGGACTCCTTGCACTCGTTGTCCTGGTGCCCCTCCGGGTAGCCGGCCACCGCGATGCAGAAGTGGTCGCCGTACTTCTGGCGGATGTACTTGACCAGGTCCGAGCCGTAGGAGAAGTTGCAATCAGTGGCCACCCAGCGCTCCTGGCCCTGGGGAGGGTCTGGAAAGGACACGAGTGGCAGCCAGATGGGCGGTCAGTGGCCGTCAGGCGGGGCGGGGGCCCGAGCAGGAAAAGGAGGAGGAGCAGGGGGAGGGGGCCACAGCCGAAGCCGGCTGGCGCCCATGCCGCCGGGCAACATACCGCCCCGCAGCGCCAGGATGTTCTGGACCCCGTTGGCGTGGCAGGTCTCCAGGGCGTGGTCGATCTGCTCGCGGTCCATGTTGGTGCAGGTCAGGTGCATGCAGGTGTTCAGGCCAATCTCCTTCTGCGCGGCCAGGGTCAGCTCCAGGGTGGTGGCACTGGTGGACCCACCGGCGCCCCAGGTGATGTCGATGAAGGACGGCCCAAGAGCCTTCATGCGCTCAAAGCGGTTCAGCAGGTTGATCTTGCCCTGTGCGGTGGGTCGGCCACCAGGGGGGGGGGG